GAGGTGGGAAGTAGTGGAGTACAAATACTTTGTTACTCTACTTAAGTACATTTTTCTGGTATGAGTACTTTACTCCACTACTTATTTTTCTGAAGACTTTTTACTTTGACTTCTTACATTTTGAACACAAATACCTGTACTTTCTACTTCTTACACTTTGAACACAAATACCTGTACTTTCTACTTCTTACACTTTGAACACAAATACCTGTACTTTCTACTTCTTACACTTTGAACACAAATACCTGTACTTTCTACTTCTTACACTTTGAACACAAATACCTGTACTTTCTACTTCTTACATTTTGAACACAAATACCTGTACTTTCTACTTCTTACACTTTGAACACAAATACCTGTACTTTCTACTTCTTACACTTTGAACACAAATACCTGTACTTTCTACTTCTTACATTTTGAACACAAATACCTGTACTTTCTACTTCTTACATGTTGAACCCAAATACCTGTACTTTCTACTTCTCACATTTCCCAAACAGGCTGGTTCCTTTAGTTTGAATGTGTGTTTGGTGGCGTGATCATTATTATTTAGAGTCATTGCGTGCCTATTGATTTGAACACGATCCGTGTATCCATCATTTCCTGGTCTTCTCTAAAGAAGAGGGACCAATGAAAACGTTGTCATGTTGCCGTTGTTCAGCATGGAAACATTCATTAGCTAACAATGACATTATTGTTCTATTAATATAAAGGGAGGTCAGGTACTCTTTAAAACAGCTGCTAGTTATGGGTACTTTTTACTGAAGTACATTTCAAAGCCCATACTTCTTTACTTTTACTTGAGTAAAGAAGTTTAGTCAGTACTTCTACTTTTACCAGTCCTGAGTCCTAGATCTGAGTCCTGGACTTCGAGTCGTGGCTGAACCTGTCTCTGCGGTCCTGCCTGACTCTCATCATACTACTTCCCTGATGGCTCCCACAGGATTGTTGACATCCTCGTGGATTCATCTTCTTCTTATAGACACATGCATTTCCAAACATTTGGACTACCTATGTTGTAAATGTATTATCTTTTCGATTTCCACACGGCATCTATTGCACTTCTGTCCGTCCTGGGAGAGGTATCCCTCCTCTTTAGCTCTCCCTGAGGTTTCTCCCATGTTCCCCTTTAAACTGTGGGTTTTTCTCTGGAAGTGTTTCCTTGTACGATGTGAGGGTCTAAGGACAGAGGGTGTCGTATTGTCATACTGATATTCTGTACAAACTGTGAAGTCCACTGAGACAAATGTAACATTTGAGATATTGGGCTATATAAATAAACATTGATTTATTGATTGATTACTATCAATTTTTAAACACGAGTATCTGTACTTCTACTTGAGTAAAGGATGTGTGCACTTTTGCCATCTCTGATTTTTACTAACGTTAATATATTTATTAATTTCTGTGCGTGTTTCACACAATGTTGTTTTGCTTGTATCCTTGTATTCTGTGAATACGATAACATTTATAACAAGTGCACTTTCAATTGCTCTGAAAGTTGGGCACGTGTCTTTAACAATATCTTTGAGTTGCTATAATATTTTATTTCACTTCTTCTGACCGTTCCCCTTTTATTTGGACTTTTTGTGTCAAGTTGTACACAGTGCGAGGAGAACCACAGTGACTGTTGTCTCTTCAGTAAATATTTTAAAAGCTCACATCACCTGGAATTTCCGGCATATTCACGTTCTGCAGTGCTTCTCAAAGTGTGGTCCGCGGACCACTGGTGGTCCGTGACCGCCCCCTAGTGGTCTGTGAGTATATTGGTAACATTTCACATTTTAAATAAATAATTACATTTAAAGTGGACCTATCATGCTATATTTAAAACATATATTGTAGGGCCAAACCTATATAAAACATGTCTGTGAAGTCTTTTTTTCAAAATACCAAACAGATCACCCATTGTAGCCATGCCTCATACTGCTCAAACCCCTCTTTTGCAGCCCTGTTAGAGAAACGCAGATCTTGGGTCCTTAGCTTGAAAAAAAGAAAGAAGAAGAGGAGGAGGCGGAGCTAATGCCTGATCAGAATTATACCGGAGATAAAGTTAAATTCGGTTGTGATAAAACGCCATCCTGTTCTAAACCACGTCAAGGATTATTTCTGAAACAGTATGTAGCTCAAATGCTTTTTCTCTTGCAGGTTTATCACAAGGTGAGTTCTTTTTTTATTTCCTGCTTTTTAAACACATGTGCTCTCCAGTACAGGTTAGCTCTGAGTGTTAGCGAGGCTTGCTAATGTAAACAAAGACGTCAGGCATTGTTTCTGATAGCAACTTTCTGTGGGTCCGCCGACGTCACAGAGGATGGAAATCGTCACAGCGGATGGAAATCTGTATCCGCTCGTTGTACACCCGTTTTTAAAAGATTTGGGTACGGAGGAAAAGAGAGAGGGTTTTATTTTCTGACGCTGCGTGAGTGCCCCGACGCACCGGGGACACATATTTATGTATAAAAAACATCACAAAGTGCATTTTGCATGATAGGCCCCCTTTAACTTTTCCGCACTCTCGCGGGAATGTCTCCGCAATGCTCCGATTTTCATGATATAGCCCAGCGCAACACCTTCGTCACACATGTTGCCACTTGTTTGTACCATTTTCAGGCGATTTTTAATCTGTTCTAGAAAAACGATGTGTTTTTGGATATTTATGGAGTTAGGTGGTCCGCGAGTGTTTTTTTATTGGTGAAGTGGTCCTGACCTTGGTATGAAGAAAACAAAACGTTTGAGAAACACTGGTATACACCTTAAAGCCCCCAGAGACAAAAGTAAAATGTGTGATATTGGGCTAATTAAATAAACTTTGATTTACTTTCATTGCTGTATTTGGCACAAGAAGTACACTTCACTTCAGAGCCCTCAAGAGCCAGACATAGGCCTAAATGTTTATTAGCGTCAAAAATGGTTTTGCTATTAAAGGTTCTGCTACTCCCTAGACCTCAGAAACAGGAGTGTAATGGATGGGATTTCTAACAGGTTTGAGATTTTAGATTTTGAAGCTCTTCTCCACTAAAGCAATGAGATCACGCAAACAGAGATAACCGTGTTGTTGTTACAATGGAGGGTTTTTTTAAACGGGGGGAAAAAAACTGAAGTTTGTTAAAGTTAGAAAGATACCAAGGCTTGTGACTTGTGTTTTGGGGATCAATAAAGTCCAAATCATCGTTGGGCTGTCACCCAATGAGTGACGTCTGAGGAAGATAAAAAATGTAAATTAAACATTGTTGAGAAAATGCTACATCTCTTGCATTTATTGAAGTAGAGGAGCCTTATTGTTTACCTTTTTAATATCAGTTTTGTTAAGTTTCAATTGCTTGGTTTTCGTGAAATTAGCCTATTTCCCTCTTAAAGTGTAACAGATTGATGCATCTCCACAGATCATCTTAAAGGCTTCTGAAACTGGGGACAGAAGGGGAGAGGGTACCAGGAAGGCACTTTTTAGTATTTGTAAGTATTTGAGTGAAACAGGGTTGATTACAAGAATTTTTAATAACGTAAACACAGTGGTATACTTCCACAAGTGGTGATAGGATGACATGGTGATACACACTCTTGTACAGTAGGTGGCGGTATGCACCTTAAAGTTGATAAGTTGATGAACGTGTGTGTGTGTGTGTGTGTGTGTGTGTGTGTGTGTGTGTGTGTGTGTGTGTGTGTGTGTGTGTGTGTGTGTGTGTGTGTGTGTGTGTGTGTGTGTGTGTGTGTGTGTGTGTGTGTACCTGCGGTGATTTAGTATAATCACACAAGTTCTGTGTTTTAAATTTAATAATTCTGTGTTCTTCATTTATTGAACGTTCAATATCTGACTAGGTCTGAGATCAGTGGGCGGAACCTCTGAAATGTAGTCACTGTACTCAGAAGATAATTTTTGTGGGGACTTCCCCCTTCATACTGTGTCCCTCACGTTTCCTCTTCCCTTTTTGCGAATGTTCCATGAGAGAAGAGTTGGTGTGAGGAGAAAAACAATTGAATGACGACTGATTTGTTGTATATTGTCAGATTACCAGTGAATAAACGGAGATCGCCTCAACTGTGTGCTGGCTCGGGTCTCATCCATCATCAACACGTTACAACGCAGACACCGCTTAACGACACACCGGTTAAATGTGTGTGTGTGTGTGTGTGTGTGTGTGTGTGTGTGTGTGTGTGTGTGTGTGTGTGTGTGTGTGTGTGTGTGTGTGTGTGTGTGTGCGTGTGCGTGTTTGTGTGTGTGTGTGTGTGTGTGTGTGTGTGTTTAATGGGGGTTTTGAACCTCCAATCTTGAAGCATGGAAGTCTTCAATGTTTTTGTTTCTATTATGTTGGAACTTGAGCATGATTCCTATCAGAGGGAGGAGCTGCAGAGGGGGAGGGAAGTTGAAAGTGAAAGTAGGAAGTCAGACTTGTCAGACTGCCAGAAGCCATTTTACAGCTCGACACGAGGAGGACAACAGCGTGAGTGTTAACACCAGGATCTGCTTTCTAACACATTCATTATTTACTCTGTTATACTGGATGTCAGAAAATAACGTCTTGGTTAAAAATCTGCGTCTAGAGTCCAATGAGACTTCTGCAAGTGTTGTGAACTTTTATTATTTCCTGTTTTCTGATTCATCAGAGTTACATAACATGTGACGCAGTCCAAATGGAGAGCGGCCTGAAGTCTGATTTCATGTGTTTGAACCAAGTTTATTATTAAGATGGTTTAGAATTGAAACGTGTGTGTGTGTGTGTGTGTGTGTGTGTGTGTGTGTGTGTGTGTGTGTGTGTGTGTGTGTGTGTGTGTGTGTGTGTGTGTGTGTGTGTGTGTGTGTGTGTGTGTGTGTGTGTGTGTGTGTGTGTGTGTGTGTGTGTGTGTGTGTGTGTGTGTGTGTGTGTGTGTGTGTGTGTGTGTGTGTGTGTGTTACTGGTTTATCTCTCAGACTGGAGAAGATGAGTGATTTAAAAGATGATGAAGAGGACAAATCTCCAGTCCCCAGCTGTCTGTCTCTGAAGAGTGACTGGTCTATGGGGGACCCTCTAACCTTCAGTAATGAACCTGGACCCTCAGACACAAAGTAAGAGTCTGTTTCTACTGTAACCTGACCTGAAGAGGATTCAGTTTTGTTGGTATCTGATAATCTAAACTGTTTAATGAAACCCAGTAGAGTACATTAACAAAGTTGAACTCTTGCTCCTTGTCATCATCAGCAATAGTAAATGACCTACCAGTGAAATCGTCCTCACACTCTACATGTTGGACTTTGTGTTAAATTAAGCTAATAAAACACAAATATGTAAAACGTTTCACACTCAAATGAATTTTAACAACAGAAACCCACAATCAAGACTCAAAAACTCTAAAAATCTTTAATCAGGTGAACAGTCATGGATCAAAATCTGCTCTTTAAATAAACTAATGGTGTTTAAAACATGTGTTGTTTCCACAGACAGTTTACTTCAAACAGAAGTCCATTTACTTGCTGAATGGGTCATTTAGTGTAGGGGGAAAACCTTTGAAACAAGAAGGATGCATTTAGACAACTTGCAAGTTATTAAAATAAACAAAGCATGCAAACAATACACTGACACTGCTGCCTTAAAGGTGAATATTTTACAAATGAACTGGGCAGAGTAAGCACAGACATATTCATGTTAAACATCAATTCTCTAAACCCAAGCTCTTTTTAAATCTCCGCAGATTTAATTAACTGGATTTTATTAGCAATGTTTTTAACAAATCAAATGAATTTTATTTAAACAAGAAAGATTCTTAACTGTTTTAACAGAAGTATTCAAGGAATTAAACAAGACTTTACTAGCAATGTTTTTAATAAATCAAATGAATTCTTTATTGCAAGAAAGATTATTTTCTCCATTTTAGAATATTCAGTGAACTAAATTAACAGGATTTTATTAGAAAGGTTTTTAGTAAATCAAAATGAATGCTTTTTAACAATAAATATTTTTATTTTATTGTATTTATTTATTTATTGTTCTTCTTAAATTCAATTGATTTAACCTCCTAAAATCGTATATCCTTTTAACACCTATCAGAGTAGGCTAATTGCAGGATGTTAGTGTGTTACCGGCTGCCTGTCCTGACTTGGTAGAATGCCTCTCGTCTGCACGCTTCAGTGTGTTACCGGCTGCCTGTCCTGACTTGGTAGAATGCCTCTCGTCTGCACACTTCAGTGTCTGACCGGCTGCCTGTCCTGACTTGGTAGAATGCCTCCCGTCTGCACGCTTCAGTGTCTGACCGGCTGCCTGTCCTGACTTGGTAGAATGCCTCTCGTCTGCACACTTCAGTGTCTGACCGGCTGCCTGTCCTGACTTGGTAGAATGCCTCCCGTCTGCACACTTCAGTGTCTGACCGGCTGCCTGTCCTGACTTGGTAGAATGCCTCTCGTCTGCACACTTCAGTGTGTTACCGTCTGCCTGTCCTGACTTGGTAGAATGCCTCTCGTCTGCACACTTCAGTGTGTTACCGTCTGCCTGTCCTGACTTGGTAGAATGCCTCTCGTCTGCACACTTCAGTGTCTGACCGGCTGCCTGTCCTGACTTGGTAGAATGCCTCTCGTCTGCACACTTCAGTGTGTTACCGGCTGCCTGTCCTGACTTGGTAGAATGCCTCTCGTCTGCACACTTCAGTGTCTGACCGGCTGCCTGCCCTGACTTGGTAGAATGCCTCCCGTCTGCACGCTTCAGTGTGTTACCGTCTGCCTGTCCTGACTTGGTAGAATGCCTCTCGTCTGCACACTTCAGTGTGTTACCGGCTGCCTGTCCTGACTTGGTAGAATGCCTCTCGTCTGCACGCTTCAGTGTGTTACCGGCTGCCTGTCCTGACTTGGTAGAATGCCTCCCGTCTGCACACTTCAGTGTGTCACCCGGCTTGCAAGCACCAACTATTTAACTCCTTCAGGTAGCGGCACAGGGGCTTTCTGATTAGAGTGATTACACCCGGCTTGCCAGAGGAGGACCGCCTGCGATCCTTACACACTCGATTTCTATCCCTATTAATGGGTCATTTGTATTTAAATGAACATATTTGTAACATATTTGATTTAAGTTCTTATTAAAATTAATCTATTTTTGTATTGATATGTATTTATATATTTTATTTTTCGACTAATTGTAATCTGTATTTATTTGATTATTATTAGAGCCTTAGGCTCTGTTTGACTTTATAGTAAATGATCTACCAGTGAAATCATCCTCACTCTCTACATGTTGGACTTTGTGTTAAATTAAGGTAATAAAACACAAATATGTAAAACGTTTCACACTCAAATGAATTCTAACAACAGAAACCCACAATCAAGACTCAAAAACTCTAAAAATCTTTAATCAGGTGAACAGTCATGGATCAAAATCTGCTCTTTAAATAAACTAATGATGTTTAAAACATGTTGTTTCCACAGACAGAGAGCAGAGTCTCCAGTCCCCAGCTGTCTGTCTCTGAAGAGTGACCAGTCTATGAGGAACCCTCCAACCTTCAGTAATGAACCTGGACCCTCAGACACAAAGTAAGAGTCTGTTTCTACTGTAACCTGACCTGCAGAGGATTCAGTTTTTAGTGCATTAACAAAGTTGAACTCTACTCCCGGCTTGCCAGAGGAGGACCGCCTGCGATCATTACACACTCGATTTCTATCCCTATTAATGGGTCATTTGTATTTAAATGAACATATTTGTAACGCTAATGATTTAATTTCTTATTAAAAATTAATCTATTTTTGTATTGATATGTATTTATATATATATTATTTTTCGACTTTGTAATCTGTATTTATTTTATAATTATTAGAGCCTCAGGCTCCGTTTGACTTTACAGCAATAGTAAAAGACCTACCAGTGAAATCATCCTCACTCTCTACATGTTGGACTTTGTGTTAAATTAAGCTAATAAAATACAAATATGTTAAATGTTTCACACTCAAATGAATTTTAACAACAGAAACCCACAATCACAACTCAAAAACTCTAAAAATCTTTAATTTGGTGAACAGTCATGGATCAAAATCTGCTCTTTAAGGCGAGACACCCCAGGTGAATAGGGTAATTTTTTTAACTTAAAGATATCAGCTAGAAATGTCTCCAGTTAATTACTTACAATAAGGCAATTGTTTTTTGTATTACAAGTTTTCTGAAATAGCATGTTTAAATATGCAAATGAGCCATTATCTCATTAGATATGCGCATATTTGAACACATTTCAGGAATCAAAATCTGAACTTTGGATAAAGCCAGGTTCAAAATTCTTGTTTCATTTTGTAGTCATATTAGAATCTAAGGCTTTTACAGAAGGGATTTTGGATATCTCTTTTTATCACTCAATAAATCAGAAAATACTGTCAACAGCCCTAAAATATCAAGTTTCGCCATGTTTTTACTAGGGCTGTCAAGTTAACGCGTTAATAACGCGTTAACGCAAAAACAAATTAACGCCACTAATAATTTTAACGCGATTAACGCATGTGTATTTTTTGTCCTCGGCCGCCCTGTAGTTTGAGAGCGCATCGAGTTTAAAATACCATCTACAAGCTGATGCTGACAGCCTCGCTCCTGCCGCCCGCTTGTGGCAGACCACACTTCCACGCTCACCGGCAGGCCCGGACTGGCCATCGGGAGGACCGGGAGGGTGTGTGTATGTGTGGGGCGAGCGAGGCACACCTTACGTGTTGTTGTTGTTGTTAGCATCTGGTGCTAGCTAGCTGCGCTAACGGATATAAGGAGCTGTTTCAATGAAAACAGAGGAGCGACATTTCGCCGACAACTGCGCCGAGCACTTGACTTTATGCAGGTAGCCAGTTAGCCAGGTAGACAGTGGGACATTGTACGAAAAGTCAGCACACTCAGCACGGATAGTGCGCGCTACATGATCCATCACAGTGTCTCTCCACACACACACACACACACACACACACACACACACACACACACACACACACACACACACACACAGAGTATTATTGTATGAGAGAGGTTCCAGGTTGAATTGAGGCGAATATTTGTAATGTTCAGAGGTTGTTGTGTTTAATATTCATGAGAATATTTGTCATTGTTCAAATGATAATAAACAAACATATAAAGCATATTTGTCCACTCATATGTTGATAAGAGTATTAAAAACGTGAAAGATATCCCTCTAAGGTACATTTAGAACAGATAAAAAATGTGCGATTAATTTGCGATTAATCGCGATTATAGGGCTGTGCAATTAATCGTATTTTAATCGCAATTACGATTTTGGCCTGCCACAATTACGAAAACAACATAATCGAAAAAAACGATTATTTTGCTTTGCTAGGTTGTGGCAGTGCACTGCAACATATTTGATCTAATTTATTTGTATTTATCATATTTATATATGTTTAGTAGCTTGTTGAAGTGCGCTCCAAAATATTTGTTGATCTTGTTTATTGGTATTTATTATTTTGATATTATTTATTTAAATGTATCATTTATTTAATTTATTTTTGTATTGGTTTTTCAGTTGAATTATACGCTCAGGGAAATCAACAGTTAAAAAGATACTGTTCAAATTATTATTTGTATTTAAAAGTTCAATAAATGGATGTTTTCAAAGTCAATGAATAATCGTATTTAATAATCGTGATATCAATTATTGACCAAAATAATCGTGATTATGATTTTTGCCATAATCGCACAGCCCTACGCGATTAACTATTTTAATCGACTGACAGCCCTAGTTTTTACATATAAAATGTTATATAATTCAGGCTATGAATGATATATGAACAAACCCTTCTGTAAAAGCCTTCATAATATTGATAGGAATATAACTGCAAGGTTTGGTGTATGTACGTGCTACTGAAGTGGACATTTCAGACTCGGTAGGAGAAAAAACTAATTTTGAGAAAACGACCTTTAAAGATTGCAGTGTGGCGCTAGCTAAACCCTCCTGTTGTTTGGATGATAGCTTGCGCATCGACGCACTCTGTGAAGGTATTTCATGTTCGGGGTCATTTGTTTTTTGTATAAACTTGCTTCGTGCAAGTGACAATTGTTGTCGTCTTCGCCGTTCTTTTGCCGTTATGAGATACCAAACACAGGATGTCTTTCAGTCGCCAACATGTGTTTTCGAGACACTGATATTAACGGGGAATCCCTGCAGGACTCAAATGCCTCGTCTCTGTTCCCTTAAACTCATTTGGGAGTGATTACCCCCGGTCTGCACGTTGTTTCTCTTTCAGAAACACAGAGGACTGTTTGTATGATGGGATCACAGACACGCTGCAAACGGTGTCCGCCAAAAGTCGAGTCCAGTGTCTATGTAGTGTCATTTTTATTTGTTATAGTTTGGGAATATTGAAAATCGGTAGGGAAAGTCAGCTAAGTCGGTAGGCGGTAGAAACATGTCAAAAGCGGTAGACTACCGCCCAAATCGGTAGGGTTGGCAGGTATGGGGGTGTCTCGCCTTAAAGGGGACCTATCATGCAAAATGCACTTTTGTACGTCTTTTCTACATGAATATGTGTCCCCGGTGTTCCAGGGAACTCACCAAGTGTCAGAAAACACAACCCTCTCTATTTTCCTCCATACCCAAATCTCTAAAAAAGGGGCTGCAACGGATCTGATAAAAACTGATCCAGATTTGAACACTGTCCTGACGTCAGGACGGTGGCGCTACGGCTATTGGGCCAACTCCACCAATCAGGAGGAGACAGCCACGGCCATTGCCGTTCGAAAGCGCTGGAGACGCTGTAGTACATATGCCAGGCCTGTAAGTGGCGCTGTAGTCTGCCACAAAAGCAGCGAAGAAGACTTCCCGCCCATAGTTACCATGGTTACCCTTCTGTTTATTCTCCGCTGTGGCTTTCTTTCTCCCTCCCCGAGGCAAGCGTTTGCTCCCGCTGCTTTAATTCAATGCAATCCCTCCCCGTCGAGGCAAGCACTGTAATTCTCTCCGGTTAGTCCACCAGCAGATGACAAACACCCACCTCTCCGCCTCTTCCAAGGAACGAGGGGACCGTGCGGCAGAGTTTCAGTTTCAGTTTGTTTCGCCGGTTAAGATGTCCGTTAAAGTTTAAATCTTCCGGACAAAATTAGAAAAGTGCCGGTCAAAGGTCTTCTTTGTTATTTATTGAGCTTTAAAACAAATGAATAACGACTCTATATAATAAAACACGGAGGACGGAGATCTCTTTTTCTCCCCCTCTTCTGACAGCCCAGCAGCTGATCAGAGCACGTCTCCCCTCTCCTGCAGGGGGGCGTGGTCAGCAGAACCAGACCCGTAGACAGCAAACAGCACATAGAGCGAAATGAGGCATGGCTAAAATGCATGATCTGTTTGGTATTTTGAAAACAGAAACGTATAAATATACCTTATATAGGTATGGCCCTACAATATATCATTTAAATATAGCATGATAGGTCCACTTTAAATAAACTAATGATGTTTAAAACATGTGTTGTTTCCACAGACAGAGAGCAGAGTCTCCAGTCCCCAGCTGTCTGTCTCTGAAGAGTGACCGGTCTATGGGGGAACCTATATACTTCAGAAATGGACCTGGACCCTCAGACACAAAGTAAGAGTCTGTTTCTACTGTAACCTGACCTGAAGAGGATTCAGTGTTTATGTAATCTAATATATTAAACTGTTCTTTAATGATATCATGTGAGCAGTTTGTAAAGGAAACACGCAGCAGAGTACAGCAAGCTAACATTATTTGAGGATAATTCAATATGCAATTATATTATCATTGTATCCGTGGTATAAAATGGTTTTAAATAGCAAACATTTTGATAAATACTGATTTAAAAACTAAATATATATCATCCAAAACATTATTTAACTACTTGGGCATGATTATGATTTGTATTTATATTAATAATAGTAACAACCTGGTGAGCTGGTTGAGTTTAGCATTAGCAGATATAACAGAGTTCAAGAGATTACATGTAGAGTCAATACAAAGACCCAGATCCGTGCCTGGCAACACGGAGGAAGTGAAGATGGGAAATTCATATCACCTGCGTATTTGTGCAGCGTGACACATTTCAACTTGAGTGTAAAGTTTGTGACGCTCTGTTACAAAAACCTGTCAGTGTTGAGATTGTGCTCCTGTGGTCTCTGAGGGTCTGAGGGGAATCAGAGAGGAGAACAGAGCTCTACAGCAGCTCATATTCAATCATGGTTATTAATGTACCTGTTTAAACCAGAGACTGTCTGTGGTGCTAAATACATAGTCACTGCTCAGGGGCGGATCTAGAAAAATATTCATGGGGTGGCAAGAGGGTGGCAGGAGATTTTGAGGGGTGGCATCCCCTGGCAGAAGTATATGCTGATTTAATCCCGGTCATATCAATCAATGTTAACTTGGAAAGCCTCAGTATTCATATTTTAACTCAATAACAGGATACATTATTGTGGCACATCAGTAAAGCCTTAAATATAAATATAAAGTGGCAGAATTTTAACTGAACAATAACTGAATGAGTTTGATTCACTCTTAGACCAGCAGGGGTACCAAATCTATGCAGACTGCTGCAATAAGTACATTCATTAACTTTCTCATCGATGTTTGTCTGAATGAATATGATACTATTAACAATCATATTATTCCTATAAGCTGTCAATCACTGTTATGATTCACATATTCATTTATTATTGAATAAACCATTTATTTTGGAGGAGTTAAGATAAGATAAGATAGAGCTTTATTTGTCTTGGGCATCGAGATAATAAACATAAAACATTCAGGTCAATCAGTCATAGATACAGAACAGAGATCACATATCACATGGCAAAGAAACAAACAAGAAACATACAGGTACAGCACTTTCCCTATTGCACATACATAAATCAAATATTGCACTTTCCCTATTGCACCTATGCATAGTGTCCGTCAAATTACACATATCCCTATTGTGTCCATACCTATTTACACATAATGCACTTTCCCTATTTAACCTTCTCGATTGCACATACTACACTGTAAACATTTCACTTCCCAACAACTCCTAACACAGCATAATCACAATTGTTTCTGACTGTTCAGCAGCTTGATTGACAGTGGAACAAAGGAAAACTTATACCTGTTCAATTTCCAGTTTGGTAATCTATACCTTCTGCCAGCAGCAACTCAAACTCTCTATACAGGATGTGTTTGGGGTCGCATGTGATTTTACGGCCTTGTTTTATCACCATCTCCTCAAATATCTCCTGAACAGAGGATGGTGGAAGCGTGCCAATTATTTTTCCAGCCCTTTTTATCAAGCTCTGGAGTTGTGATTTAGATTTAACTGACAAGTTACCAAACCATGTTGTGATGCCATATCGAATAATAGACTCAATTGCTGCCCTGTAGAACATTAACATGATACATGTATCCACTCCATGAACCCTGAGCCTACGCAGAAAATGCAGGCGCTGGCTTATCTTTGAGCATACCTGATGGGCCCAGCCTAACTGAGCATCAAAATAAATCCCCAAATATTTAACCCGTGAAACCTGCTCAACTCCCTCCCTGTTGATAAGGACTGGGCTGTGATCACATACTGACTTGGGGTCAAAGATCATTTCCTTTGTTTTTTTAACATTTAACACCAGGTTGTGCGCCTCACACCACTTCACGACCTCTTCAATCTCAAGTTTATAAATAGAAATGTCTGAGTCTCTAGTCAGTAGACTAAGTATGGCTGTGTCATCAGAACACTTTATAATGTGGTTGTGTGTGTGCTGACTCCTACACTCATTTGTGTAGAGTGTGAAGAGAAGAGGAGAGCTAACGCAGCCTTGTGGTTATGACCTTTGTGTCAGAGAGGGTCGAGTTTACTTTCACCTGCTGCTGTCTTTCAGTTAGGAACGAGTGATGCCATCTGATTAAGTAAGGATTCACATCCATCTGTTTGAGCTTTTTTAACATCATTTGGGGAAGAATAGTATTAAAAGCTGAGCTAAAGTCCATGAACATGAATCTAGCATAAGCTAAAGGATTTTCCAGGTGTTTTAAAATAAAGTGAGTTGTAGAGGTCAGAGCATCATCTGTACCTCTACCATCGCTATACGCAAACTGGTAGGGGTCCAAGAGGTGTTGCACCTCAGTTCGCAAGTTCCCTACAATAATCCGTTCTAGTGACTTCATAACTATTGAGGTCAAAGCCACTGGTCTGAAGTCGTTGTTGTCATGTGGGCATGGTTTTTTTGCAACTGGTATGATGACAGCTTTCTTCCATATTTGAGGGATGCTTCCCGTGTCAGCAGAGAGCTGGAATAATGGACTCCAGGCAGGGGTGAGCTCATCTGCAAACGTTTTCAGCAGGAGTGCCGAAATACCGTCTGGCCCACTGGCCTTCTTAGTATGCAGTTGTTTGAAAACCCTGGCCACAGCACTATCATCAATTCTTCTTCTTCTATTGTGTATAGAATGATGAATGTTCCTCAAGATGCTTGCTCACCCTCCTTCAAATTTGAATGACAAATTACTATCATAGATCAAAATTCAAACAGTTCAGCGCCCCTCAACTTTACTGCAAACAGTTATAACCTGGACTTTACATCAGAAAGAACAAACATTAAAGAAGTGACTAACTGCATCAGTTAGGATAAAAAAAACGTGTAATCAGCTAAAACATATACATCGCTGCAGCTATTATCCAGTGGAGAGTCCTTACCTACTGGCCTAGTTAAATCAAAGTGGTTACTTTTTTTGGGGGCAGACCCCCACAAAGAAAATAAATATATACACACATACAAGGACAGCATCTTAACAGTTTTTTATGCTCATCCGTGAGCAGAGCATCAAGTTGGCATGCCTACATGTATAACAGCTGAATGCGGCGATTACCATTTTGTTCAGCAAGACGCCTCACAAATGTATTAAGATCAACAGCTTTAGTGCGTTTTGATTCAATGCTGAGTACAGCCAAACTTGACAGTCTCTTCTCTGTCATTGTAGACCGCAAATACCTCATTCCTTCAGTACTTGGGTCCGAATGCTTCTCGTTTTGCGCCGTCCTGTTAAAATGAAATCGCCGCCAATCATATTTCCACGCTCGCGCCAGGGCCGGGGGAGTGGCTACAAGGCTCGCGTCTTGTGCTGCATTCACTTGCACTCGGTCATTGGGGATTTTCTCTCATAAATGTCCGATGAGCCACAACTTTTATTTTTAAAAAAAAGCTGCCAACTGGGGTGGCAGCTGGGGTGGCAAGGCACTTTTTTAGGGTGGCAGTTGCCACCCCATGCCACCCCGGTAGATCCACCCTGACACTGATGTACTTATGACTTCATGAAGTTATTCATGAGAGTGCTGATGGAGCAGCTACAATGTTAGCCTAGCTTTAATCAAACCGATCTCATTCAGAAAACAAACATTTTTAAATGTGTATGCTCGTTGTGTTGGAGACAGACCTGACAAAGCATTAACTCAGGCTTTTTACAAATCAGTATCATTCTGTTGTTACTTAGGCATCCTTTCCATATGTTTATTGATATTAATTCACAGCAGATTCTCTGTAAGTTGGGTTTATAAAGCACCAGGTTAATACAGCTGTGTGTCTTAGGCCCCGGCTCCACGAGGACAAATACGGCAAAACGCATCGGAGTAACGCAAATGCAACCGCAAAAAACCTTCCGTCCCCACGCAATATACACCGGATTGTGTCAAGCTCCACGAGACGGCTCCGTTTACATCCAAACGCTGGAAAAGCTGCAGTACATATGCCGAACCTGTACGTGGCGCTGTAACTTCCTCCACAAAAGCAGCAACTTCCTCCACAAAATCAGCGAAGAAGAATGGTTGTCATGGCTGCACTTCTGTGTATTCTCCGCGGTGGGGGCCGACAGAACCGGGCAGAGTTTTTCGCCGGTCAACGTGTGTTAAAGTTTAAATCTTCCGGACAAAATTATAAAAGTGCCGGTCAAAGGTCTTCATTGTTATTTATTGAGCTTTAAAACAAATGAATAACGACGATATAATGATATATAATCATCAAATACACAGAGCCTCTCTTTTTCCTCTCTTCTCACAGCGTCAGTGTCTGTCTCATGCAGCAGCTGATCCTGTAATGAGTGACCCGACAGTAAAAATGAACATATTTATAACTAGTTTAGTTTGAGAGGTAATTAAAATAGCTAAGGGTGATGATCTGACTTGAAGTGTGTGTTTTGCTCTCGCTGCATCACAGCGGCAGGAGCTGCGTGTCTCCGTCCTGTCAGATTAGACTTCACTCGCATTTATGTCCATATCGAGATAAAGATAAATAATCTGAATTCAAGGAGGAGCTCCTGTAGATGTTGCACAAAGAACTGTAGCATGGTCAGTAGCGACTGGAGCACGATAGCAACCCTGCGGGGGAGAGGCGGGGCTATAAAAACGGATGACCGTATAGGCGACTCCACGGCCCCGTTGGACCCCCCAGAGCGCTCAGTTCCCAGATCTATCCACCTTTGGACCCGTTGTCGTTTGCGGGGTCTGTTTCTACGTTTCCCTTACGGCGTCGTGGAGCTTAGAGGGCTATACGCATGAGAAATATGCGGATTCAACCAGTTTTCGTCCTCGTGGAGCCGGGGCCTTAGTAGATGCAGTGAACTTGTGCTCCTCTGGGTCATGAATCCAGACAGGATGCTCTTTGGTTTGATGATCATGTGAATTGTAAGCTATCTACCTGATCACAAAGGTATATTATATAGAACTTTTTTTAAATATCAAACTAGAATGTTCCCCCTTGTTGTACCTTTGGTGATAATCAGCTCCCCTAAAGTGCTATAAAGGATGTGTTCATCTTCACAGAGGGAGGAGGAAGAGTGGTGTTCCTGTGGAGGAGCAGCTGTCCAGCTGTGCTCTGTGTCAGGACGTCCTGAAGGATCCAGTCTCTACCAGCTGTGGACACTGGTTCTGCAGACAGTGCATCACCTCATACTGGGAGCAGAGACCTCCATCAGGAGACCCCTCCTGTCCCCAGTGTGGAAAGAGATCCAGAACCAGAGCTGGCCTGCAGACAGCCAGTCAGACCAGCTCTGTACGAGGTAAGAGGCCGAACTCATGCAGCGTCTTATTCCTCTTCCTGGTTCATTTGGTCTTGATGAGGTATACTGTTGTAGAGCATAGACATTAAGCTGTTTGCAAAACATTTCAACTCAGTCTGTTTTTATTAGTTTTATTGTTAGATTCTCAAAAGCATTTCCTGATTCTCTCGTGTTTCCTTCTCTTTCAGCAGATAGTGGTCTGCAGGAGGTTTTAGATGAACATAGGCTCAGTCAGAGGAGGAGATGTGAACGTGTGACTGAAGGAACTGATCAAAGTGAAACCCTCCTCAACAGCATCTTCACTGAGCTCTACATCACACAAGGCCAGAGTGAAGAGGTTAATACCCAGCATGAGGTGAGGCAGCTGGAGACAGCTTCCAAGAAGGAGACCCTCCATGACACTCCAATCAAGTGCCAGGACATCTTTAAAGCCTTACCTGACCAACAGACTCTCATCAGAGCGGTCCTGACCAACGGAGTCGCTGGAGTTGGAAAAACCTTCTCAGTGCAGAAGTTCACTCTGGACTGGGCCGAGGGTTTGGAAAACCAAGATGTCAGTCTGGTGATCCCGCTCTCCTTCAGGGAGCTGAACCTGATCAAAGGTGAGCAGTACAGTCTTCTCAGGCTGCTCCATGTTTTCCATCCAACCTTACAGAAGGTCACAGCAGAGCAGCTGGCTGTCTGCAAAGTGCTGCTCATCTTTGACGGCCTGGATGAAAGCAGACTTTCTCTGGACTTCAGAAACAATGAGGTTGTGTCTGATGTCTCACAGCAGTCCTCAGTCAACGTGCTGCTGACAAACCTCATCAGGGGGAAGCTGCTTCCCTCGGCTCTCGTCTGGATAACTTCCAGACCTGCAGCGGCCAATCAGATCCCTCCTGAGTGTGTGGACAGGGTAACAGAAGTACGAGGCTTCACTGACGCCCAGAAGGAGGAGTACTTCAGGAGGAGATCGAGTGATGAAGACCTGTCCAGCAGAATCATCTCTCACATCAAGAGCTCCAGGAGCCTCCACATCATGTGTCTGATCCCAGTCTTCTGCTGGATCACTGCTGCAGTTCTGGACCACATGTTGACTACAGACCAGAGAGGAGAGCTGCCCCAGACCCTCACTGACATGTACTCACACTTCCTGCTGGTCCAGACCAAGAGGAAGAAGCAGAAGTATGAAGAGGGACATGAGACGAGTCCACAGCAGCTGACGGAGGCTGACAGGGAGGTTCTTCTGAAGCTGGGGAGGCTGGCGTTTGAACATCTGGAGAAAGGAGACATCATGTTCTACCAAGAAGACCTGGAGCGCTGTGATCTTGATGTTACCAAGGCCTTGGTGCACTCAGGAGTTTGTACAGAGATCTTCAAAAGAGAGAGTTTGATCTTCAAGAAAACAGTCTACTGCTTTGTTCATCTGAGCATTCAGGAGTTTCTGGCTGCAGTCTACATGTTCCACTGTTACACCACCAGAGACACAGAGGTACTGAAGGACTTCCTGCAGGGAGACTGGCCCGATGAGAACAGTAACAACAGAGATCAGGATTACCCATCCCTGGATGTCTTCCTAAAGGGAGCCATGAAGAAATCCCTAAGAAGTAAAAATGGCCACCTGGACCTGTTTGTCCGCTTTCTCCACGGCCTCTCTCTGGAGTCCAACCAGAGACTCTTAGGAGGCCTGCTGGGTCGCTCAGACAAGCGTCCAAAAACCATCCAGAGACTCTTCAAAGGCCTGCTGGGTCGCACAGACAACAGTCCAGAAACCATCCAGAGAGCCATCAAGAACCTGAAGGAGATGAGCAGTGATGAAATCTCTCCTGAAAGGAGCATCAACATCTTCCACTGTCTGACAGAGATGAAGGACCACTCAGTACATCAGAAGATCACAGAGTTCCTGAAGTCAGAGAAAAGATCAGATCATCTCTCTGTGATCCACTGCTCTGCTCTGGCCTACATGCTGCAGATGTCAGAGGAGGTTCTGAATGAGTTGGACCTTGATCAGTACAACACAACACGGGAGGGGAAACGGAGACTGATTCCAGCTGTGAGGAACTGCAGGAAGGCCAGGTAAGTCCAGATGTGATTAACTTTATAAACTAATGTGGATCAGATGTTTAATTATTCAAATAAACACTATAACATTTCTGCTGTTTAAATACTGAGAGCAAAATAAAACCAACACTGTTCTTCTATTTATTTATAATAATAGTTAAATTGTTCCGTTCCTCTCTTCATATTGAGTGATGGAGGCGACATGTCAAACACATGAAGGACTTGAGAGGTTTCTCAGCATGTGATCACACCACACAGCAGGACTTACAGTTATCACAGAAACATGTTATTATTACTTTCTAGTAGTTTCTTTATCATTAAACACGTTTTTATCACAATGTGTTGGAGTTTAAAATCAGATCTATATCATTTCCCACCAATAACAGAGTTATGTCTTAATGCTGATATACTGAGAACATCTGATGGTATTCAGTTTAAAATATTGAAACTTTATTGGTTTGTTAATTGTGTTTGTGTTCGCAACACATGTTCAGATGCTCAGAGAAGCCTGAACACTTTTCTCTGGGTATTGTCCACAGTAATGATGTTACATGTCTGATATGTGTAATGTGTATTTGTAAAGCGCTTTGAGCACCTGGAAAAGCACTATAATAAAATGTAATGAATTATTATTATTATTAAACATTAATTATTCACATCCAAATATTAATTAACATTTAAATATGTACATCATCTATTGTGCAAAATCCTCTTCTGCATGTCTCTTCTACATCAACATGTGTCCCCTCTTCTTCATGTCTCTTCTACATCAACATGTGTCCCCTCTTCTTCATGTCTCTTCTTCATCAACATGTGTCCCCTCTTCTTCATGTCTCTTCTACATCAACATGTGTCCCCTCTTCTTCATGTCTCTTCTACATCAACATGTGTCCCCTCTTCCTCATGTCTCTTCTACATCAACATGTGTCCCCTCTTCTTCATGTCTCTTCTACATCAACATGTGTCCCCTCTTCTTCATGTCTCTTCTACATCAACATGTGTCCCCTCTTCTTCATGTCTCTTCTACATCAACACGTGTCCCCTCTTCTTCATGTCTCTTCTACATCAACATGTGTCCCCTCTTCTTCATGTCTCTTCTACATCAACATGTGTCCCCTCTTCTTCATGTCTCTTCTACATCAACATGTGTCCCCTCTTCTTCATGTCTCTCCTACATCAACATGTGTCCCCTCTTCTTCATGTCTCTTCTTCATCAACATGTGTCCCCTCTTCTTCATGTCTCTTCTACATCAACATGTGTCCCCTCTTCTTCATGTCTCTCCTACATCAACATGTGTCCCCTCTTCTTCATGTCTCTTCTTCATCAACATGTGTCCCCTCTTCTTCATGTCTCTTCTTCATCAACATGTGTCCCCTCTTCTTCATGTCTCTTCTACATCAACATGTGTCCCCTCTTCTTCATGTCTCTTCTACATCAACATGTGTCCCCTCTTCTTCATGTCTCTTCTTCATCAACATGTGTCCCCTCTTCTTCATGTCTCTTCTACATCAACATGTGTCCCCTCTTCTTCATGTCTCTTCCACATCAACATGTGTCCCCTCTTCTTCACGTCTCTTCTACATCACCATGTGTCCCCTCTTCTTCATGTCTCTTCTACATCAACATGTGTCCCCTCTTCTACATGTCTCTTCTTCATCAACATGTGTCCCCTCTTCTTCATGTCTCTTCTACATCAACATGTGTCCCCTCTTCTTCATGTCTCTTCTACATCAACATGTGTCCCCTCTTCTTCATGTCTCTTCTACATCAACATGTGTCCCCTCTTCTTCATATCTGAGCATCTGAACATGTGTTCGCAACACATGTTCAGATGCTCAGAGAAGCAAAAACATCCTTCATCCATCCAAATATTAATTAATATTTAAATATGTACACCCTAATATTGTAAAGTGATTTATTTAATTTATGTTTCTTTTGGTAACAGTCAGTGACAGCAGGAGCACAGACATGTGGTCAGATCACACTGACAACACATTCAACTCTACTATAATATATTATGATATATAATATAAAATGGACTGACAGCAAATCTCAATCAGAACATATGTCAAATATGTTTTCATCAAATGCTTCAAGTTAATATAATGTTTCCTCTTGTTTTAACACATGTTGTAATATATGTGTTATTATAGACTCACTGACTGTGAACTCTCAGAGACTGAATGTGAAGTCGTGGCCTCAGCTCTGAAGTCTGACCTCTCTCATCTGAGAGATCTGGACCTGAGATACAACACTCTGAAGGATCCAGGAGTGGAGCTGCTGAGTTCTGGACTAAAGAGTCCAAACTGCAGACTGGAGACTCTCAGGTCAGTTCTCTAATGCCCCTTTCACACCGGCGCTTTTCCAGCTCCTGCTCGGAGCTGGAAAACGCCGGTTTTTCCTGTTCACACCGCAGCGGCGCCGCCTCTTAGCTCCGGAATGCTGTTCACTTCCAGCTCCAAAAAATTGTCGGTCCAGAGGCAAGAGCTTCGGAGCTATGACGCGGCGTCTCTTATGTCGAGGCGTGCAGGAAACCTTACTTTGACCATCCGTTCGCTGTTATTGATCATTGTGGAGAGCAGGCAGACGTTTTGTTTGTTATTATAGCAGCTATCGGATGGAATTAATACATGGGCTGCACAGGTTGTCATGTCCGACTATCACAAGTAGAATCATAATGAAAAATACGCCGGTAAAATGTGCCTGTAGAAAACGGCTTAGCAAGTAGTCAGTTTAGCTTCGGTTGCTATGCTAACATCACCCATGTTATACCAGAGAAACTTTCATAACAGCGTTGTGATGCCAAACAGCGTCAATTCAGACTGACACACATTCACTTAAGGGGAACTGGGGATATGTATCAGCTGCTTGTGTGACAGTCAGACAGTGAATACTTTAGAGCCGTGTGAGCTAACCCGGAGCTAACGGGAGAATACACTCCCGTTGAAGAGCAGCCAGCACTGCAGCGGTCGGTAAATGCTGAAACACATTAATAAACAATGAACCACGGCACTCTGGAGAAAAGTATAAGGTTGGAGAAGTCGTTATTTAATTTAATCTGGCTTCGTATGATTAAAAGCAACACGATCATCGACCCGACGCAGTCCCCCCCCCGTTGTTGTTGTGGGAGAAAATCAGCAACGTAAACGTTGACGTCATGACGCAGCAGCGGCAGCTCTGGGCAGTGTGAACAGAGCGGGAGCTGAAAAGGGAAACGGGAGCTGAACCAGAAAAGCTCTCGCTAGGAGCTAGAAAGGGAAAAGCGCTGGTGTGAAAGCCGCATAACTGCAGTTCATACAGATCTGTTTGTGTTTATGATTTTCTGAATTTGAACAAATACATTTTAATTGTTATTTCTTCCATGTTTGCTAATGACTGCATATTGATCAGAGTAACAGAGAGAAGGTGAATGTGTGAGGGAGAGAGTTTGAGCTTCCACAGACTCACTCTGTGCTCCATGAGTCAGTGGAGATGCTGTCAGTACTGATGAGCTGTGAGGGAGATGAAGGAGTTGTTTAACATCTGATCAAAGTTAAAGATCCAGATTATCAGTGGATTGTTTCTACATCATCTCTGACATTAAAACCCTGTTTAACTCTGAACAGATTATTAAACCTGGAGTTATTTCAAACAGGAACATTGTTTTCTAAAGTCACATCATGTTTTCTTTATTCAGACTGAATAGCTGCAGTTTGTCAGAGATCAGCTGTTCTGCTCTGATCTCAGCTCTGAAGTCCAACATCCATCTGAGAGATCTGGACCTGAGTGACAACGCTCTGAAGGATTCAGGAGTGGAGCTGCTGAGAGATCTTCTAGAGAGTCCAGACTGCAGACTGGAGGCTCTCAGGTCAGTTCACTGACTCTCTGTTACTGCAGGAGGTCTCACATGTTTCATTAATTATTCAACTTATTCTTGTACATATATATAACATCCATACGTTTGTAAATGTTGTTTTGTTCACATTTGTATTTCTCTAAATGTAGTCTGCAGTCATAACAGTTGATTGCTTCCTAAAGAAACTATTATTCTTCCACTGTTAGTTGTTAAAGTAAATGTATGTTTTCTTTAGTAAATGGTCTGAATAAAGAAGGTCCTCTGAACTAATATTAGTTTTACATAAAGTTTACTTTCTAACATAGAAATGTTTATGTTCCCAATAGGGCTTCACGATTTGGTGAAAAAGTCATATTGAGATTATTGTGGACAATATTGTGATTTGTGATTGAATGAACAAAGTGTAATATGTACTTGGTCAGGGAAAGGAAAGAGCACAGACAAATGATCATTTTGAAATCTGTATTTCTCAAAGAATCATAAACAAATCCAACAACAACAATATCTGAGTAGTAGGCTACTGTTTGGAAATAACTTAGAATTTGACAAAATAAAATAAATACCAAAATATATCTTCTTTGAAAATAAAGGTTTTTTCTGCATACTTTCTGCACTACTATCCAGTAAATATAAGAACACATGCACATGTTCATTAAATAAGACATCTGGATGCCCAAACAAATGAGGATGTAACAGAGAAAAGAGCAAGTAACAAAATGGGGCATATTTAGTGTAACCTCTACAACTGGAACAACATATATGTTAAATAAAAGTGATACCCAAAGTATCTCCAAATTACAGATGCAGCATTATTTTTGGCCACCAATGAACCTGAAAAGGATATTGCATTGTTTTTGTTACTTTCATTGCTATTGTTTACATTTCTATAATTTAACTCAACTTCCTGTTTTATTTAGACATGCTTTTATTTTGAAGGTGACTTTGCGCTATTAACAGGAAGCTACTGTTCCCAAAGAAAAACACTTGACGGAGATGAACGGAGATAAAGTACAGACATTAACGGAGATATCTACATTTAAATACGGCGATATCAAAAGAGAAAGTTTAGCAAGAGGCACAAGGTTAGTGTTAACTAATATAAACATGTGTCCTGATTCGTTCATACTGTTTTATAACTTTACGGTTCACTTGTTTAATGGTATGCTAAAGTGATGCTAATATGGATGAAGCTTAACTGTAGTTGTTGTGTTGTGTCTTTGTGTAGCTCTTACGTTGATTTTTGGAGTTTTCAATAAATGAGAAATCATCAGTCAAGTGTACGACCGTCTTTCGGAGGGATCTGCTACACTTGAGCCTCATCTCAATACCCCTCCTCGACTCCTCCTTTCCCTCACTCGCATCCCTTCCTTGCGTCTTAGCTCCGCCTCCTTAAGATGCGAGCGAGAGACACGAGGAGGTGACGCGAGGACAGAGGAGTCCTCAGGTATTAATTGGGATGTCCTCGTTTGATTGATTGATTGATTGAAAAGTTTATTAACAGCTTGTATATTGGGTACAGTACAGTACAGCTCAAAACATACAATTGTTAAGGGGATGCAGACCAGAGAAAGACTTTCGTCTTGTTTACATCAGGGTCCCCCATTTCCAATTCATCATATCATTTAAGACATATAAGACATATTTGACATACAGATGGCTTATTTACAATTTACATACAGGTGGTTTTTTACATACAGATGGCTTATTTACAATTTTCATTTTAGATTTCGTTCTAATACATCCTAACCGGACATTTAAGACATACCAAGTCTACAGATATACAGTTAGTAACAGAGTCTAAAATGCGAGTATATACATAGATGGGGGGGGGAAGCTGTCCATTGTACGACAGGTTGAGATTTGTACCATTACCGGGGCCAGTTTTGCAATGCTTTCCCCCGAAGGTGCTCTTTAAGAGAGGTTTTGAAGGTAAGTATAGTTTTACTTTCCTTTACAGTTGTGGGAAGAGCGTTCCACCTTGATGTGGCATAATTGCGAAACGTGTATTCCCCTTTTTTTGTGCCAAATCTGGGTTTTACATGATTTGTGGAGCTCCCTCTGGTGTTATGATCATGGTATTCCTTGACCTTTGGGAAGAATTTTGACATGTACATGGGTACCATAGAGGTGTAGTGGATCTTGTAGACCAGGCCCATTGCAAGTAGCTGTACTCTGTCGTCTACTCTAAGCCATCCTAGGTTGTCAAAGTGGGCAGAGGTGAGGTGGGTTCTAGATGAAAGGTCAAGCAGTAGTCTGACCAGTTTATTTTGCGATGTTTGAAGTTTTATTTTTAGCGCCTTGGAGGTGCTATGGTACCATGACGTGCAAGCATAGTCATAGTACCCTTGAATGAGTGCTCCTGCCAGAGTTTTCAGGGTGCTTTTGTTTACCAGAGAGGAGATCCGGTATAGGAATCTAGTTCTTTGATTGACTTTTTTTATTACATTGGATGCCATTTTGTCACAGGAGAGGTTTGCCTCAAGAATAGATCCTAGGTATGTAATTTCCTTCTTACTTGTGACAATAATGTCACCCACTGCAACTGAGAAGTCGTCGGATTTGCTGAGATTATGTTTCGAACCGAAGAGAATGGACTCTGTTTTACCCAGGTGTAATGATAATTTATTATCGGCGAGCCAGGTGCAGATTCTGCCGAGCTCGGAGCTGAGGGTTTTTTCAACCTGCAATCTGCTCCTGTCAGAGACCAGCAGGGCTGAGTCGTCCGCGAACAGGAACAAGTTGCAGTCACATGCTGATGACATGTCATTTGCATAAATTAGGAACAGTAACGGACCTAATATGCTTCCTTGTGGAACACCACAGCTCACTGGGAGGGGGGGGGACAGAGTACCGTTTACCTCCACCATCTGTTCTCTCCCCTCCAGGTAGGATTGCATCCAGCTCACCGATAGTTTATCAAAACCAATTGCTTTTAGCTTGTCAATCAGAATGGGGTGATTGACAGTGTCGAAAGCCTTTTGTAGGTCCAGCATCACCATGCCGCAGTATTTACCCTCGTCCACCTCTTGTTTGATGTGGTCGTTCAAATAAAGAAGGCATGTGTCAGTGGAGTGGGATGTTCTAAAGCCAGATTGAAATTCATAGATTAGTTTCTTTTCTGCGAGGTACTTTTCGACCTGTTCATATACTATTTTTTTCCATGACTTTCGAGATGGAGGTAAGTATAGAAACAGGGCGGTAGTTGCCTGGGTCCAATTTGCTGCCCTTTTTGTGCAGGGGGGTTACTCTTGCAATTTTGAAGTCTTTGGGTACTTTTCCCTGTTTTATGGAGAGGTTAATTATGTGAGCTATGACTGGTGAGATGGCGGTTGCTGTGTCTCTGAGGAATTTGGAGGGGATATTGTCGTGGCCAGTGGCCTTGTTAGGTTTGAGGGCGCTCAGTTTAATGAGTACCTCTGCTGTTGTTACCCTTGCTAGACTGAAATCATCTTTGCGTACCCCTAGGTTTTTGTAGTAGGTCATGATGTGATCTACTCCAAAAAGCCCTGAGTGGGAGGGTAATTTATTTACAAGAGTTGTGGCTATGTTTGTGAAAAAAATGTTCAAGTACTTGGCCACATCCAGTTTGTCTGTGATGAGCCTGTTATCTGTCTTTATGTTTACGTTTGAAAATCTCGTTTTGAGTTTTTTACTGCAGCCAAGCTGGTTGAGTAATTTCCAAAGTTCACGGGGTTTATTTTTGTTTTCCTCAGTTTTGTCATTGATGAAATTCTTTTTGGCAGTTTTGATCATGGAGCTTACGTCATTTCTTAGTCTGTTTCTTTCAATTTTTAGTTCAGTCACGTGGGCCTGGAGTTCACTGCTCCTGCTTTTGGAAAGCATTGACTGACTTTTATGAAACTCAGAGCATTTTTTGTCTCTGGTTTTCATGGCGGTCAGTATGCCGGAGTGCATCCACGGCTCAGCGCGATTTTTTACCCTGGTTGTTCTTAGGGGGGCCAAATCATTGAGTATGGCAGAGAATTTGTTTTTGAAACCAAGCCATGTTTCTTCAACTTGTGTACCACTGAGCTCATCTGACCAGTCCAGGCTCTCCAGTTCTAGGTTAAAGGCCTCGCTAGAGTAGTTTTTGAGGTCTCTAGATATGACTGTTTTGTGACAGCCGGCCTTTTGTTTTAGCTTTTTGCGGGTACAGAATATCATATAATGATCACTTAAACCGCATGCTATAACCCCTTTACTGGAGATCCTGGACCTGTCAGAGGTCAGAATGAGATCAATGGTAGTTTGTGTTGTTTCACATACCCGGGTGGGTTGGGTGATTAGCTGGCTGAAGCCGTGCAGATCACAAATCCTACTGAAGGACTTGAAGACGGACGTGTCTTTACGTTGCATATCCGTGTTCCAGTCTCCAATAATAATTGTCTCTACATCCCCCACATCAGCCAAACACCCATCTAATGTATCATAAAAGTCACTCTGTTCCGGTGGTCTATAGATTGTCCCGACTATTACAGATTTAGCATTGTCAAAAAGAATTTCAACCCACACAGATTCAATATTTTCATGATGCAGGTCAGTACGGTTTTTGAAATTGGTGTCTTTATGTATGTACATGCAGACACCACCTCCATTCACGTTCCTGTCCCTTCTCACTACAAGATAATCTTCAATTTCAATCTCTGAATCTGTAATGGAATTGTCCAATTTGGTCTCAGAAAAGCATAATATGCTTGCCTTACCGTTCATGAACAGTTGCCTGAGTTCAGCCAGTTTGTGTCTCAGGCTGTTAGTGTTCAGATGAAAAATATGTAGTCCATTTTTGTTGTTTAAATGCATAATGTCGTCAGCTTGAAGATATTTGTCTTTGTCCGTTACAGCAAACGGCTTGCGGCCTGCCGTGGTGCTTGGAGCGGTGGGGTGGTGGGGGGAGGGAGGCTCCGTTGTAGCTTTAGCCGTCGATATGCTAGCAGGGTGGCTAACAACATGGTGGATATTTGTTCCCTCGGATCTCGGTTCTCTTCCTCTCGTCACTGCCTCATGCGTGTCTGTCTGCCGAGGCGTCCCCGGGGGAATGTCGAAGTCTCCGTTGATTCCTCGGTCTCCGCTGTCTCCATGGTCTCTGTTGTCGTCGCGTAGTTGTTGCTGTAGCGGAAGAGATGCTAGTTGTGATGCTAGTTGTGATGCTAGCTCCTCGAGCC